ATTGTAAATTTAGTATTAGCAGTCGGTTTGTTGCAATTAGTATGCACGATGAAAATAAAAATTTGTAATTGAGCTATAAATTGTATTTATTCAAAATTTTCACGTTAAAGAAATGTAATGATATTCAAAACTTTGAGTTTCTAAAAATATCACAAACCGACAAAATTTAGGGGGGCTCTTGTGCTTTCAACTTTGAAAGATGTTTCCGTAAGATTTTGATGCGCTGACAATGACTACATTTTTTTCCATGAGACTCTCCATTTTTTAAATAATAACGAAAACAGTTTTTTTCAGAAGTAAATTTGTTATTAATTTTTTCCAGCTAAACAAAAAATGATACCGAGATCTATTTTGTGTTATTTAACTCAGAAATATTCCAACAATACCAAAAATATTTTTTCGATGTTTAAAACATTTATACTGATAGTCCGTCTCTTCTCTCAATCCGTGTTGAGCCGTATCAGCGAACATATATTATAATCGTTACACAATGTCCGTCTTACACATCTGCGTTTCACTAAACTTTGTATATTCTAATGGGTTTTCATACTTATATGGACACACTTGTTTGAATAATTTACACATGATTTTTGGTGAGTTTTTATTTCTTATTAGATTTCCGGTATGTAATTTATTTGCGTGTATTTTTTTGTAAGAAGTCTTTTTATTTTTTTTATCAACTAGAACCTTTTCAAGAGATATGAAACTCATTTGACTATTCAATCGTATGTGAATAATGTCGAGTTCTACATGAAGACTCATTCGAGCTGTGATTATAGTGAATATGTGAGCATTTTCGATAATTAATTTTGTACAGCGATTTTTATGATAAGTTAATGAAGAGAGCTCAATCCGGTAGCTAAAACTTGTAATTATTTGAATTTAAACTGAGTTTATTATTATTTTTTCAATTTTACGTTTCTTTATTTATAATTTATTTTTTTTAATTGCGTGACAATTTAAAAAATGTGTTTGACTCTTACTTTGCCCTTTATTTATTGTTATTTATTTTTTCGATGCTTGTAAAAATGTTTTATGCAAACCGCAAATAAAAAGCTTTGGAAAAAATTATTAAATCATTAAAATCTGGAAAAATTGACAAATTTTGACAAATATAAAATCACACATATAAAATCAAATAATTTGAAAGAAAAAAATTGTAAAAAATATCTGACAATTTATACTTGCTGTATGTTTCTAAGTTTAAATCCTTTAATAAGTTTAAATTATGATTATAGTATAGTAATCAAAGACTTTCAAAATCACCAAATATCGATTTTATATATAAATCGTACGGATTAAAAAAATTTGTTGTTTCTATATTGGACATTTTAAATTGTACATTTTTTATTTCAGATTTGAGATTAGTGATCAAAAAAGATTACACATATGCTCTTGTATTCGGTGGTTATTTATCAGACTCAAAAGGATATCGCACTGTAGTGCACCCGTGACGCACGGGCTGCTTTGCGCTTTAAATTCAATAATTTCTGAACAAATAGTCGGAAATTAGTTTTTCAAAAAAGGATTTAAATTAGAAACATACAGCTATAAGTGTAAATTGTCAGATATTTTTTACGATTCTTTTTTTTTCGAATTATTTGATTTTATATCTCAAAATTTGTCAATTTTTTTCGGTTTTTTAACAATTTCTCCAAACTTTTATCAAAGTTTTTTGTTTGCGGTTTTCATAAAACATTTTTATGAGCATTGAAAAAATATTTTTAATATTATTAGAACATTTCTGAGTTAAATGCCGCAAAACAGACCTCGATATCATTTTTTGTTTAGCCGGAAAAAATTAATTAAAAAATTTACCTAAAAAAAGTGTTTTCGAGATTATTTAAAAAATGGAAAAAATGAATGACGTAGTTTTCAGCGCATCAAAATCCTATGGAAACATCTTTCAAAGTTCAAAAACACAGAAACACCCCCCTAAATTTTGTCGGCTTGTATATTTATTCACAAAAACCTATTATTATTTAATGAGTATTCATATTCATTTAAGTATTCAAACAAAATATAAATTGAAAAAGAAAATTCCAATAAGCAATCATTACTCTTTCAACTATAACCGGCACTTTAATGATTTTGAGTAAAAAGAATGAGCCTTGGTAGTCTAATGTTTTAGAACGCTCGTACAAGAGATCCGGATTCGACTCCCGGCCGAGATAATATTTTTTGCAATAAATTTATTTACAGTTTTTTAGCACATTAACATCTTTCTAATATGATACCGGATTGAACATCAAAATTATTAAAATTTGCTTGTCAATTTAATTTAATTTGTGATATTATTCTAGTAATTTAATTGTGTTTATAAGTTTGGAAAACCAAGCGCGCAGTTTGAATAGCTAAAAATATGATACAATATATATACATGTATATAGATGATAGTATATATATATATATAATTTACATTGAATTATTTAAGCATTAAAGATCTAGCTTTTATAGGCTTGAATATTTTTACTTATTGTTTAAAAAGAACGAATTCTATTTATTTTTGTCATAATATTTAGATTTGATGAGGAAAACTGAGAAATTGAAAAAAATATTTAGAAAGCAATACATTTTTTACTTATAAGTACAATCTATTTGATATGACATATAATTTTGCATAATGATTTTTTATTTGATATGATTTTTATTCTCAATTTGTTTAACTGTATACCGTAAATTTTTTAATTAATTTTTTCCGGCTAAACAAAAAATTATATCGAGATCTGTTTTGCGGCATTTAACTCAGAAATGTTCTAATAATACGAAAAATATTTTTTCAATGCTTATAAAAATGTTTTATGAAAACCGCAAACAAAAAACTTTGAAAAAACTTTGGAGAAATTGTTAAAAAACCGAAAAAAATTGACAAATTTCGCATCACTAGTCTATCATCTGGCACTGGTGGAGGATTCCTCTGCCGATTTCATTGTTTTTACAGATTTCTCTTTTCTTTTGCAGGCTTGCAAGCTATGTGCAGATAATACAGAGATGTAGATGTAAATGTAAAAACAAAAATATTTAATCTCAAAAAATATTCAAATGGAATGGAATCATTTGTTTTTTAACAAATAGAGTGTATTTAAATAGGTATTTTCATTTATTTTTTATTAATTTATTCGAATATTAGGTATATTCATCGAGCACACTATTTGCAATAACGCGTTGTAACTTCAGTTGACTATCTCTTGCTGAATCTTAGAAGTTCTTTTTCAGATATTCAGAGATTGCTTCTTAAATATCTCTAATTGAATGTTAAAGGTTCCTTCTTAGATATCCGCATGTTATAGTTGTAATATAGCCAAGAATAGAGAATTTGATTAGTTATCGTTATGTAAAGCGGTAACTAACATTGGTGCAATCAGTTCTATAGGAATAAATCCGCAACGGATGTAAATATAGTGAAACAAGCGAATAAAGTATAAACCGCGAAAGTTTATAGTAATCATTTAATGTAACTCGCGTAAGCTATTCAACATTAGCTTTCGTGACGACCTGATCTCCAACACACTTCATTCACCGTAAAATAATAAGATAAGTGATGTGGTTTATTAAAAATTAAAAAAATTTTCATATCTTTTCAAAACATCAGAATTTTTATTTCATCGAGACGAAATGATAAGTAATCTGAAATAAAAAATTCGATATAAGGGTAAAATACACGCGTTTACGCACAGTTTATAAATAGATTGAACATATTGATTACCTGTACTTGAATTTAACCGTAAACTTTTATTAATTAATAAGACGTTATTGCTGCATATAATAACTCTGAAATCGAATATAAGTAGCTACTTATTATCGAAAAAAATTTTCGTGGAATCGAATATAAAAATAATTAACTAATATCAGATAAGAATATTTCCATATTCTAAATTGATAATATAGTTACTGAATTCATGTAATAATAATGTAAAATAATTATTGAAGAATGGAAAGATGAAATCATTAGATTGTATATTGTAATTTGTACATAAGTATAAAGGTTCAGTTATTTTATTATAAATTACACACACACACGCGCGCGCGCGCGCGCAATTTTTCCTTATGTACACTGTCTAATTTAGACAGATATTCAAGAGATCGCTATAATTACTTTTTGTACTCGAAAATGTACTCGTATTATACGTGAAGAAACGTTGGTGCACTCTAAAATAGAATTTTGCATGACACGTGACATTTGCGTGACATGTTACTAATGCATCTATCCATTATCATTTATTGAAGAAACTGGATGTATAAAAAGAGAAAGATATCCTTCTCTAATTTAAGGATTGCAATTACTAAGTCATTACTTGATACATGTTCACGCTTTATTCATTGCACTATTGCGTATTAACAGCCGGAATTGGATACTCTCTTAGAAGTGCCAAACACGCCAATTTGGCTCTTATGCTTCGATATCTCTGATTAATAAAACGTCATTTTGATATTATTTGATATTATTGATATCATTTGCATTACTTGCGGTTGTATATATATATATATATATATATATACATACATACATACTCGATGGTCTGTATTGCACGGAAAAAACAAATAATTGAATATGATAATCGCAGTTTCACCGTTGACATATCGATTCTTCTTGTTATGGTAAACAACACTATGATGGAGTCACAAAGGTGAAGCATTGCGCATAATGGGGTATGGATGAGGTGAATTTCGACCAATCAAACGCTATTGGCATTGCATGGCATTTTAAGATCATGTTGGCCATAACAGAAATGTGTGTAACAGAAATTGAGAATGGATACGAATCGTCGACAGGCATGTCAATTTTAAAATAGATTTATACGATATGAAATGAAAAGATTATGTTTCAATTAAATAAATTGTTAAGTAAATAATTTAGTAAATTATACGTTTAAAAATAACATTTCGCCACATGATTATTTTTCGCATTGCCGATTGCGTCTGACTCAAGGCCATCAAACTGCCATGGTTTTTGCGTTACCAGCATTTGTGGTGCCCTCATGGCTATGACAACCGGAAATGAGGAACTAATATTCAATATTGCATCGTTTCCGGCACATTCCGATCGGCATTTGTATCGCCATATTTGTTATGTCAATGTCGTAGATACATTTTCCTGTGATAATATTTGTAATAAAACATTAAACTGCAAGAAACATTGTCAGAAGGTCTGTCATCCGGGATCCTGCGAGCTCTGTTCTGTGACGTCTGAAAGAGTCAATGCGGTCAAAAACCATTAACGGAATAAAGAGAGAGTTGTATGAATCCTGTGCCGATCTGCACAAAGCGCTTGAAATGTGGCCAGCCTAGTAAGGCTTTGTATTTTTAATCGAGCTTTGCGTCTTATCATCAGTGCAGACGCGTTAAATCAAATTTTTATTTGTTCACGCAGATAATCCGCACATCTACAAGGCTCCATGTCACGTGAGGGAATGTCCGGGATGTGACTTGAACACTGATGTCAAGTGTTGTTGTGATAACATGGACCGCAAGATGGCTTGCAAGGACTTGACAAGACCGATGATACGTGCTCTGAGAAGCACTGCAAGAAGAAGAGAACCTGCGATAAATACAATTGCAATCAGCTGTGTATCGACATCGAACACATCTGTCCATTACTGTATTCAGAGACTTTAAGCTGTGGTCGGCACAAGTTTCAGAAAAGATGTCACATGGGTAAAGTACATAATTGTATCTATGATCAAAATTGGACAATATAAAGTGAAATTTTTTCTCTCCTATAGGAAGATGTTCGTCTTGCTTAGAGAGCAGCGTTGAAGAATTGTAGTGTGAATGCGGCGTCGAGGCGATTTATCTGCCGATATTATATGATGTGAGAAGACCCATTTGCAATTGATCGTGTTCGTGCGAACACCTTTGTGACCACGAAGTACACAACTGCCATAGCGAGCCCACATGTTCACTTTGCAGCGTCTTGACTCATAGATAGTGCATGATGGCAGACATGACAAGACAAAGTTGCATTTATAATGCATATTATGTTATTTAAAAAATAAAATGTGAATTTGTGAAAAAAAGGAAACATTAAAGTTACACACACAGTATTATAATATTTTATTTGTGTATATGTATATATATATATATATATATATATAGGGAGGGGCATTTAAAACAGATCACCTGAATAATTTGCTTGTTTTTAATAGAAGAAAAAGTGTCAAACAAAAGTTGCTTAGTTAAGAGGGGCACATAATGTGATGTTTTGTAGGTGGAGACGTAAAAGATAGGCAAAGGTCAAATCTGTTTTTTTTAATGGAATGATATGGTTTTTTACTTACATTCTGACAGAGCATTTTAAGACGAATACAATGACCTATAATTGAAGGGCATTTAAGGTTACGCAAGGTCAATAATGGAAAATAATTGTATGCAATGGAAAGTAAATTGTTTCAAGGCACTCTTCGAATAATTTCGTGTCTTCTCTTCTGGTTGATATACCGCTCAAGTGTATGTAAATATTTACATACCGTTTAAATTGTATCGCACATAGCATTATCAATATTTACTGATCAGTTTGAATTCATCTATCGATTAAAGTGCGTGTCTTGCGAAATGCATTATACGAAAGCGGAAAAAGTCGATATGATTTTCGTCTATGGTGAATGTCCCCAAATTATGAGAAAAGCAGTACGTTTGTATGCTGAAAGATTTCCCGATCGTGTCCATTCCTCATTCTGTTTTACAATACATAATACAAACATAGTACAAACTTTTCAAGAAACAGGAAGTGTGGATAATAAAAAACGCAAACGAATCAAGAAAGCAACTGACGATGGAAATTCAACGAACATTTTAGCCGCTGGAACACTAAACACATATCAGTACAAAACAGCTTGAACGTAAAAATGGTATTAGTCGACGAAGTGTTCTGCGAATACTTCGTTTCAACAAATTTCATCTCTTCCATATCTCACTTTATCAAGAGTCACATGGCAATGATTTTCAAAATTCTGTAAATGAGCACTACAAAGAATACAAGAAGATGATATGTTTGTCACTAAAATCTATTTTACTGACTCTATTTTACTGAATCTCTTATTTACTGACGAAGCTATATTTGCAAACAATGGACAAGTAAATCTTCCACTATTGGTCAGTAGAAAACCCATATTGGAGATGAGAGAAGTGGACAGGCGAGACCTTGGTCTATAAACGTCTAGGCCGGAATTCTTAATGAATTCTTAATAAAATAATTGGTCCTCATTTTATCCATGGATCGTTAAATAGTCGCAAATATGCACAGATTTTAACAGAAATATTGCCACTATTATTAGAAGATTTTCCATTGAATGTACGACAATCAATGTGATACCAGCAAGATGGATGTCCTGTTCATTTTGCGCGGATTATTACTGAATTGCTAAACAGAAAATTTGGAGATCGTTGGATTGGTTGGACAGGAAATAACAGATGGGCCGCATATTCCCCAGATTTAACACCTATGGATTTTTATTTATGAGGAAAATTAAAACAACAAATATACAGCGAAATGCCAATATCAAGAGAAGACATGGAGCGTATAAGAAAAGCTTGCGTTGCGATTGATTCGAAGAAATTTGTCATGCAGTGTTATCTGTGTCGATACGTTTCAGAAAATGCGTCAATGTTCAAGATCATCATTTTGAACACTTGTTGTAACGGTAAGTACGCAAATAAGTAAATTAGTGAAATATTCGAAAAATGCCTACAGACAATTTATCTTTAATTACAGCTAACCTTGTTATGTTTAAATAAACCTTTAATGTTTATTTACATATCGTGATACACTTGAACAATTAGCGGTATACCAACAAGAAGAAAAGACACGAAATTATTCGAAGAATGCCTTGAAACAATTTATTTTCCATTACATTCAATTATTTTCCATTATTGATCTTGCGTAACCTTGAATGACCTTCAATTATAGGTCATTGTATTCTTAAAATGCTCTATCAGAATGTAAATAAAAAAATATATCATTCCATTTAAAAAAACAGATTTGACCTTTGCCTATCCTTTAGGTCCGCTTCCACCTACTAGACAATTATTGACATCACATTATGTGCCCCTCGAAACCAAGCAATTTTTGTTTGAATCTTTTTCTTCTATTCTTAAAAATAAGCGAGTTATTCAGATGACCTGTTTTAAATGCCCCTCTCTCTCTCTCTCTCTATATATATATATATATATATATATATATATATACTAACTTATATTCTGCTTTCAGTATAGGCGCTCACGCATTTTAAGCGCTTATAATCATCATTCGGTTATTATCAAGCGCTTTCAGCTGAATTTTCGATAAAGTTTTCGATAAAGTAATTTTATCTTTATTGAAAATTCAGCTGAAAGCACTTGATAAAGACACAATAATGATTATAAGCGCTTAAAGCGCGTGAGTGTCCATAATGAACGCAGTCATATGCTTAATATGGTGATAAAAATTCCAGTCGGAAACGATAACAGCCATATTGAATATTAGTTTCTCATTTCCGGTTGTCATAGCTATGAGGTGGCTACAAATGTTGATAACGCTCGGAACAAGAGAGGAGGTTAGTGGCCATGGTTTGACTGTCCAAGCCGCAACTATTTTATTGTCTACGCATCCTTCGGAATACTTCACCCATAGACATATAAGATAGATCCAGCATCCATATATTTTTCTACAGTATATGCTGGTTTGGCCATAGACATAGTATCTCTAGACATAATATCTTTAGTAATGCTCTCTCCGAGCATTCGAAGAGTGGGGATAGTCCTCATATAGAAAAGGACGCATTTACTTGGTCCACTTGCGTTCTTTCTCGTTTTCTAAATGATATTATCCCAACTCCTCAAATTTCTGACAATGTTCGGTCTAGAGGTACTATGTCTATGGATTTGGCAAAACGGTGTGAAAGACAAAATATCGGGGCAACCTATTCTTCTCTGCGCGTGCATCTTGATATTTACATTACTGAACAAAATAAAATAAGATATAAAAGTAAGGATAATATTCAAGAATTTTACCTTCCTTATCGATTTTGAGTAGAAAATATTATTCTAGCCAAAGTATTGTAGAAAATATTTATTCTAGCCTTACTTATATTCTTCTCATGTCTCTATGCCATCGACGTGACAGATTTCCTAATCTGAATAGTCGTTACTTTCAACGATTAATATGTCTACGGGGCAGAGTGTTGCTTTTTTTGTCATATTCGTGCAAAAACGCATCGAATGTATCTAATTTCATCAAAATTGGTGAAAAAGATAGAATTCTTGAGTATTACCAAAATAAGTTTACTGTCAAGATAGAGAAGGTGACAGAGCAAACAGCGCATTGGTCTGTTATGCTAAAGATCCCGGATTCGATTCTCGGTAGAACCAAAATATTTTCATATGCTCGTGTTTCTTCTGCGCGCATAGAAGATTGCCCCGATATTTTGCTTCTCGCATGATTCTGCCAAATCCAGTATATATAATTAGTATTGGGTCTATCTGATATGTCTGACTTTACCTTTCTAATTCTATCATGAACAATACTATGAAGAGAAAAACAAGACAGAAAATATGTCAGAATCATAGACGTATATAACACAGATGATTAATTCACACTGATAAAATATTAGTATACGATTATTTCAGTATACGAGTATACATGATATGCCATTTTGGCGACTTTTGGCGGTTTACAATAAAAATAAAAATAAACTGTATTAATATGAAATTAATTAATTTTTTGTAAATCAAACTTCTAAAATGATGAAAAGTCAGGAAAAACTGTTAATCAATACGGAAATTTTTAAAAGTTATAGCAATTTTTAATATAATATTAGCGGAGCCAATTTAATGTTGTTAGCGGTTCTAAGTATTGTTCTTTTTTTTCTTTCTTATATGTACATATATAAGTTAGTTCGTGTTGTATAATATATGTCTCCTATTAGAAATACTTAAAAACGTTAGCATATGCAGACGCTTCGTAAACTGGCGATAATGTATCTCGAAAGCTATATATTTAGAGCACGTAGAGCTGTACAAGTTTATATATTTATTTAAAATGTTCTCTTTTTACTTCCTCAGTCCTATTACTTGTGGTCAAGGGGAAACTTCTCTCATATATTTGTGATACTTACGCTGGTTGTACAAAGTCATATGGGACCTTCAGTCTAATGTCGATTCTGAACGAAGAAATTTTGTTAGAGAAGAAGTTTTGTTCTTGACGGTGATACTCTCGATGGTTACCGTTTTTTTCCAAAAAAAAAAAAAAAAAAAAAAAAAAAAAAAAAAAAAAAAAATTTTTTTTTTTTTTTAAAAAAAAAAAAAAAAAAAAAAAAAAAAAAAAAAAAAAAACGAGCGTATGAAAATATTTTGGTTCTATCGAGAATCGAATCGGGGATCTTTAGTATAGCAGACCAGTGCGCTGTCTGCTCTGCCACGTTCGCTATTTCTTTACACGTAAATGTACACACGCACGTACGCACGCACCCACATACCGGGTTTTTCGGACCACCCGTATATTCCTTTTATCTTTGCAGGATAAAGTCCAATCGTAAAAGTGTTCAGACAAAAGTTGTAGGGTTTAAAAAGATCTATTTAATTATCTTATCAGTTTATATATAACCTTAGGTGGTGTTGGTCAGGTTAAGGTCATGTCGATTTTTTTTAATGGAATACTTAACTTTTTATTCCAGTACCTAATAGCCGATGTTAAGAACTTTTTGAAACACTATAATAAAGTTATTTTTTTATTGAGTACTTGTCGAGTTATAAGGCTCGAAAATTACAGTACGGCCGGTATTAACATTACAAAAGGTCTTTGACCAATGTTAAAACTTCTTAAATGTTGTTCACCATGTCAAGATTAAGGTCATTAAAGATTGTTTTTCTTATTTTCATTTTTGCACTAAAAATTTATTTTTATGTAAAAACATACATATGTATATATCATATATATATATATATA